CTTGTTTGATGATTCTATTATCTGAAATAAGCTGTCTGTGGTAGTAGCTGGTTTGCTCTCGTGATACCTCATTACCTTGTTTCTTAGCTGTCTTTGTAAACCGAGAGCTGCTTATACCTCTTGGGATTGTATTTACAGAAAATTCTAAGGTCTAGGAAGAAGGTGGGTACCTGCAGAGAAAACAAAGTAGATGTCTTAGTCCATTCGGACTGCTTTAACAAAATACCCTTTAAGTAGGTAGTTTATAAACAATAGAAATGTACTGCTCACAGTTCTAGAGGCTGGTAAATTCAAAATCAAGGTGCCAGCAGATTCACTGTCTGGTGAGGCCCCATTCCTCACGGATGGTATCATCTTCTTGTGTCCTCACATGATGGAAAGGGCAAACAGGCTCCCTCAAGCCTCTTTTATGGGCTCACTAATGAGAGTGAAGCCCTAATAACATAATCACCTTCTAGGTAGATGTTCTACCACTTGAACCACACACCCAGCCCAATGTGATCACCAATTAAAGACCCCATCTCTTAATACTAGTGCATTGAGAGTTAGGTTTAGACATATGAATTTGGGGAGGAAGGACACCAACTTTCAAACCATAGCAGTGGGTACCTTCAGAGAGAATTTTGTGTTTGCTTCCACCAAGCACCTTTAGATATTACATCCTGAGGCTAATATATGTTAAATGTTCCACAGACTATATAAGTGTTGATCACCATGGCTATGAATTTGATTGCCAACCCAGGTGAGGGATAGCTTATACATTTTCAAGATCTATCCCACATACATACTTCACTTTGCCCCCAAATTTGAAAGTTGATTTCCTTGCAGTCTCTAAAGGTCAGTTTACCTCTAATTCACCTTTGCATTGAGGGTATAACCTTTCAAAGGAAGGAGGGAAGGAGGGAGGGAGGGAGGGAAGGAAAGAAGGATGGAGGGAGGAGAAAGGGAGGGAGGGAGGAAGGAAAGAAAAGTTAAGCTAAAAGTAAAAGTCAGGGAAGAAAGAGAAAAGTGAATGAATTATAAGGGATGACTAGAGATCCATGAAATAGAAAACATATTCAATTGAAATCCATGAAATAGAAAACATATTCAATTGAGGAACATCAATAGACAAAAATCTGGTTCACTAAAAAAGTCAACAAAAATAATAAACTTCTAGCAAGACTAATCAAGAAAAAAGTGAGAACATGTAAGTCATCAGTATCAGAGATAGAAACAGAAATATTACTATAGATTCAATAGATTTTTTTTGGTAATACTGGGGTTTGAACTCAGGACTTCACACTTGCTAGATGGGCACTCTAACACTTGAGCCACTCCTCCAGCCCTGTTTTGGGTTGGGTTTTTCAAGACAGGGACTCATGAACTATTTGCCCAGGCTGACTTCAACCCATGATCCTCCTGATCTCTGCCTCCTGAGCAGCTAGGATTACAGGCATGAGCCCCTGGCACCCAGCTCAGTAGAGATTAAAAGGATTATTAAAAAATTAGGAACAACTTTATGCCAATAAGTTTAATAACTTAGATTAAATGAACAAGTTCCTGAATAACACAAATTACCAAAGCTGAAACAAGAAGAAACAAAAAAACTGACTGGCCCCATAGTTATTTAAGAAAGGGAATGCCCAACTAAAAAAAATCTTTTCCACAAAGAAAACTCCAAGCCCAGATTTCATTATTGGTGAATTCTGGCAAACACTTATGGGATAAATAATGCCAATCCTGCATGAACCATTGCAGAAAACAGGGGCAAAAGCTTTCCCAGCTCATGCTTTTACACTGGAATTTCTCAACATTGACAATTGGGGGGGGCGGGGAACTTGTATCCAAAAGAACGATAACCCTGATTTGCCAGGCCCTGTGACCATTCAACTCATAAAGTACCAAATCCAGCAAGCATCCCACCCATAGAAGCTATGTGGTCTGTTCAGTACCGTCCTTAGATGTGGGCACAAGCATAATGGACAGGGAAAAACATCCCAGAGCCCTGAGCTGGGAACTGCCAAACACAGAAAAAGTTCTTCATTGCTCATGTTCAGGAAAATGTGGCAAGTGCCACCGACTAGATTACTGAGTTTTCTATGTTGCTTATTCTAAATACAGGTTTTATTGTGTTTATTTTTACTCTTTCATTGTATTTTGAGATCCATGAACTATTTTTTGTATTTTTATAAGCCACTGGATTTATAAACTAGTGTCATTTTCTGGAGACAAATGACAGTCTATCTTCTCACTTACAAGTCCTTGGATGCTACAGTTTGGATCTGGCATATTCCCCAAAGGCCATGTGTTAAAGGCTTGGTCCCCAGCTTGGCACTGTTGGGAGGTGATGAGAACTTTAAGAGGTAGGGCTTAGAGGGAGGTTTTAGGTCACTGGGGGTGAGCCCTCAAAGGGGACCCCATCTCTTCTGCTCTTTTTCACTTCCCAACCATGAGTTGAGTGGTTTGGCTTCATTATGCACTCCTGCCATGTTGTGCTGCCTCACTACAGGCCCAAAGGCAACAGAGCCATCCAACCATGAACTGTGACCTATAAAACTGTAAGCTAAAATAAACCTTTTCTCTTTATAAGTTGATTATCTCAGGTATGTGTTACAGTAACAGAAAACTGGCTAACACACTGGACCACAAGGATAAACCTGTGGAAGTAAACTATGTAGAACTCAGAGACCTACACTGTGAGCTAGATGCTGCAACTGCTGGGATTTTCACAGTGGTCCCCTTAGGGATAAGAGTGTGTTCCACATGTGGTAAAAGACTACACACATGTAAACAGCTGAAGGACTGGACCATAGCAGAAACTACTGATTATCCCCCATGCCAAGGCCAAAGCACTTGTCAGTTCTTTCTTCACTATGTCCACTTAGTATGATGTTACCAACACTATGTGGAATGTCCAGATGGTAAGGTTCCCATAGACTACGTTGTGACAGGGAACTTGAGAGTTAAGACAGCCTTGAGGCAAGGTAATATGTATTACTGTCCTTCCCATATATAAATTTGAACTGCTTTAGATCCTCTTTACCATTGGGAATTAAAAAGAATGTTCACTACATCAATAATTTCATTATAAAGTGTCAGAGGTACATTAATCAGTCCCAGAAGAGACTACACCTGAGGCAAGTACGATGGTACATGCCTATAATTCCAGGTCTCAGGAGGCAGAGGACAAAGAATCAAGAGTCTGGCCAGTCTGGGCTATGTAGCCCTGTCTCAAAAAAAATTTTTTAAGATATTATATACCTAGGCTGGAAATGTCATTCAAGCAGCAGAGTGCCTGCCTAACAAGAGCAAAGCCTTGAGTTCAAACCCCAGTACTGCCAGAAAAACCGTAATTTTTAAAAAAGATACTATACCTGGCATAGCTGCTGTGATTGGGGATATTACTTGGCTAAATTTATGAAGGTCCACCATCACTTACTTCAATCCACCTAGACCTTTCAGGTGCCATTAGGATGAAGTGAAAGGATAAAATGGTGACCATCACTTTAAGCCCCTGAGGTGAAACAATCCCTGCAATTCCACTGGAATGCAGTTGTTTCTGATTTACTATCTTGAGGAATTTCTGCTTTGCTATAGAAATTTTTCTTTCTTGCCTCAGCCTCCTTAGTGCTGGGATTACAGATGTGCACCACCACCACTGACTCTCAGATTTTTTTTTTTTGCTTTTTTATTTTTATTTTTATTTTTTTATTTCTTTTTCTTTTTTTTATTATTCATATGTGCATACAATGCTTGGGTCATTTCTCCCCTCTCCCCCCACCCCCTCCCTTACCACCCACCCTGCCCCCTTCCTCTCCCCCTCATCCCCTCAATACCCAGCAGAAATTATTTTGCCCTTATCTCTAATTTTGTTGAAGAGAGAGTATAAGCAATAATAGGAAGGACCAAGGGTTTTTGCTAGTTGAGATAAGGATAACTACACAGGGAGCTGACTCATTAATTTCCTGTGCATGTGTGTTACCTTCTAAATTCTAGTTCCTGGTCCCTTCTCCTATTGGCCTCAGTTGCTTTTTAAAGTATCTGCTTTAGTTTCTCTGTGTTGAGGGCAACAAATGCTATCTAGTTTTTTAGGTGTCTTACCTATCCTCACCCCTCCCTTGTGTGCTCTCGTTTTTATCTTGTGATCAAAGTCCAATCCCCTTGTTGTGTTTGCCCTTGATCTAATGTCCACATATGAGGGAGAACATACGACTTTTGGTCTTTTGGGCCAGGCTAACCTCACTCAGAATGATGTTCTCCAATTCCATCCATTTACCGGCGAATGATAACATTTCGTTCTTCCTCATGGCTGCATAAAATTCCATTGTGTATAGATACCACATTTTCTTAATCCATTCGTCAGTGGTGGGGCATCTTGGCTGTTTCCATAACTTGGCTATTGTGAATTCTAGCTCAGATTTCAATGGAGTGAAGGATCATGATTTTCTGCTACAGCAAGTGACATTAGGGTCCCCAACACCAATTGATATCTTTGTGACTATTCCAATTAGCTAGTTAGCTGTTTATGTTTTACCCCAAAGAGCACCAGGGTCCAGCACACACCTCCCCCTTTCCCCCCATCCCTTCCCTCTGCTGCCACAGATACCTGATTGTCACTCCCACACGCACTTGATGCGGGATGCCCTCCTGGGAAGGGGGATTCTGAGCGCTCCAATCTGTCGGGGCTGACAAGCCCCCGGCGGTCTGCTCCAGGGTTTGATTCTGTAATTGGGCCGAGGTCTGGACAGGAATTGTCCCAACGGCTCCGTACTTCCTGTCACTCACTAGCAAATGTTCATTGGGCATCTACTGTAAGTCCTAAAATCTCTACAATCTGACGCACGTCTCTCACACACCCCGGTATTACCTACACTGCCCCAGGAAAACAGCCCTTATGCGGAAGCCAGAGCCACAGCTCTCACCACCTGTGCTCTCCTGTACCTCGGGCGGACGCTAACTGAGGATACGCCCGCCCACGTGACGCGCCCGAAAACTGGCCGCAGAGCGTAGAGCGCAACCACCCAGGACGCTTCTTGATTGGCCCACGCCACTTTCTAGGTTCCGAGCCACCATCCACACAACTGCGTTTCGAGGGGCTCCGCCCAAAGAGCGTGACAAGGCGCGCCCACCCAAGAAAAGAGGTCATTGGCCTTTGACTTGAACAAGGGCGGGCGCGGCAGAGAACCGCAGCATTTGTACTTCAGAAACAGGCCCCAAACCGGAGCCACGGAGAGAGCCGAAGGCCGCCGCAAAAAGCCGAATAGAACCGGAAAGAGCCGAGTACGCACGGGAAAGCGCTGGCCAGCCGGAAGCGAAGTCGAGCGCGGCCGGAAGGAGCCGAGCCCGCCCGAAGGGAGCTGAGCACCGCTGGGCGTTGGGCCCGGTGGAGTCCATGCCATGGCTGCGGAGGGGGCAGCTGTGGCCGGAGGTGGGGCTGCCGGTGGCCACCTGGCCAAGGACAGCTTGCGGCAGTCTAAGTGCCAGGACGCGACCCCGAACCGACGGCGTGCCTCGTCGCTGTCTCGTGACGCTGAGCGCCGAGCCTATCAGTGGTGCCGGGAGTACCTGGGCGGGGCCTGGCGTCGAGTGCGGCCCGAGGAGCTGAGGGTTTGCCCCGTGAGGTGGGAGGTCAGGGGTCAGCCCCTCTTGTGCGCGGGTCAGGGCCAGGGGTCAGTCTCAGAGCCCCCAGTTGTGCACGCGCAGAGATCCTGTGCCGTGGGCGGGGTCCCGCGATAGGGGCGGATCCTTACTGGGGGTGGGACTGGGTGGGAAACCACAGAGGGGAGGCGACCGGCTCCGGTCCCGCGGTGGGGGACGACTGCAGGCTGAGCGCGCCGGTGTGGGTCTGCAGTGGAGGCCTCAGCAACCTGCTGTTCCGCTGCTCGCTCCCGGACCACCTGCCCAGCGTTGGTGAGGAGCCCCGCGAGGTGCTGCTACGACTGTATGGGGCCATCCTGCAGGTGAGGGAGGGGCCAGTGACTTTAGGACTCTCGATTAAGTGGTTGCAGGCAATGTTGTCACCGTTGTGCAGTTGAGTACCCTGAGGCTTAGGGGCTAAGCCTTATGATATAAAGCCTGTGCTCCAGAGCTTCCAGGCAGTGAGACCAAAGCCACAGCTATGGATGGATGGACATGGATGAATGGATGGATGGATGCAGAAAGCAAACCCTCCTGTGTATGCCAGTGCCCCTTACCTCTGGCCTCTCCTGAGTTGGGCTCCTTTGCTATCTATCTTCTTTCAGGGTGTGGATTCCTTGGTCCTAGAAAGTGTGATGTTTGCCATCCTTGCAGAGCGGTCGCTGGGGCCCCAGCTCTATGGAGTCTTTCCAGAAGGCCGGCTGGAACAGTATCTCCCAGTATGAGCCCAGCCCTCTACTCTCCAAGTTACCTTCTGCCCTCACCCCCCCCCGCCCCGGCCCCATGTCTGCCTTCACTTCCCATGTAGGGAATTTTCCCCAAGACCTTGACCTCCCCCCATCCCTCCATCCCTTCCCCCCTCCTGCCCCAGCCCCCTCACCACCCTGATAGGTTCCTGGGTGCAGAGCCGGCCATTGAAGACTCGAGAGCTTCGAGAACCAGTGTTGTCAGCAGCCATTGCCACAAAGATGGCCCGCTTCCATGGTATGGAGATGCCTTTCACCAAGGAGCCCCACTGGTTGTTTGGGACCATGGAGCGGTGAGTTAAGTTTGGGTCCATGACACCTGAACTGAACCATGGGTGTGTCCAGCCCTCCAGTTGGTGTCCCATTGTCTAGCTTGGGCTCTCATGTTTCTCAAACCACACAGTGACAGGAAGGTGGGTGAGATAATCTGGCCTGAGGGTGTCTAGGAGAGGGGGTGGGAATGGATAGCAGAGTGAATTATCCTATTTTGGGGGCTTCAGGTACTTAAAGCAGATCCAGGACCTGCCTTCCACTGGCATCCCCCAGATGAACCTGCTGGAAATGTACAGCCTGAAGGATGAGATGGGCATCCTCAGGTGAAGACAGGCAAGATGGGGTGGCACCAGGCATCTAGCAGTGTCCTCCCAGGATTTGCTGATGGCTGGAGTCAGGGTTGAGCCTATGGGGGTGGCTGTAGTCACTCTTAACTCAGGATCCATGTCCCTTACCCCTTCAGGAAGTTGCTAGACTCTACTCCATCACCAGTGGTCTTCTGTCATAATGACATCCAGGAAGGTAGGAGAAGGCATTTGGGTCTCCCAGTCCAAGCTGTAGGGGCGGGGGGGGGCACCTAAAGTGACCAGAATCCTACTTCATTCCCTTAGGGAACATCTTGTTGCTCTCTGAGCCAGAAAACGTCGACAACCTCATGCTGGTTGATTTTGAGTACAGCAGTTATAACTACAGGTGAGGGTGGGAGGGCAGCCTCCTGTGGATGCTCCACAGAGACCTGGAAAAACAGATCAAACCTTCATGTCTGCCTCCCAGCTGCCCAGGGTATCTGGGGACTGAATGTCCACCTTGTTTTCCCCCAGGGGCTTTGACATTGGGAACCATTTTTGTGAGTGGGTTTATGATTATACTCATGAGGAATGGCCTTTCTACAAAGCACAACCCACAGACTACCCCAATCGGGAACAGCAGGTATGTGGGCTGGAGGCTAGGAAGCTATGAGGGAGAAGAAGAGGGAGGTCACCTTTGGAAGGAATGTCCAGAGAAGATGTTAATTGGGAAATAACATAGTCTTTCCAGTTTTTGACTTTTGTCCATTGATCTCAGCTCCATTTTATTCGCCATTACCTGGCAGAGGTAAAGAAAGGCGAGACCCTCTCTCTAGAGGAACAGAGAAAAGCAGAAGAAGATTTGCTTGTAGAGGTCAACCGGTGAGGAAGGAGGGGCAGGGTGGGAGTGGGGAGGGAGTTCATTGTAGGCAAGGAGCTAGTACAAAATGGGCAGAGATGGAGGATGAGGTGTGAGGCTGGCAAGCAAGGAAAGTTTGAGAGTGGAAAATCAGGACTGGGTAGGGATTAGGACAATGGGGAAGACATTAAGAATTTTGGGGAATGACCAGTCTGTGGGAGGGGATCCAGGCAATGCCAAATGCGCTCTTAAGCACACTTTTCCTGCTCCCTACCTTCCCCCAGGTATGCTCTGGCATCTCATTTCTTCTGGGGTCTGTGGTCCATCCTCCAGGCATCCATGTCCACCATAGAATTTGGTTACTTGGTAAGTAACCCAGAGAGTGGGCATGTTAGGTGAGGGCTAGGGAGCAGCAGTGGCTATATGTCCTCCAGGAAATCTGGGCAGACCAAGGCAGGTGTAGAGTGCTGGTCCCAAGTGTCTCACCAAGCATTCTTTGTGGGGTGGGTTTCTTTCCCTAGGAGTATGCCCAGTCTCGGTTCCAGTTCTACTTCCAGCAGAAGGGGCAGCTGACCAGCTTCCATCCATCATCCTGACTGTCTGACCCCCACTCCTGGCTTTCTCCTGGAGCTTCCAGGGCAGGACCTTGGAGGGATAAAAGCCAGGATGCCTTGGAGACTGGGCTGTGCCCCAAAGTGAGACTGGTTGAGAAGGATGACCTCTCCCCCAGTTTGAGTAGGTTCCCAAGGCGGGCAGGTGGGAGTTCCTGAGCTGTGTACCTTAATAAATGAGCTTCTCCTTCATACCTGTCTTGGCTCTGTTCAGAGGCAGAAATACCAAACCAAGGATCACACAGACTGATGAAGTAACCACTGCACTGTTCAGTTTTCTGGGTTTAAAAGTAGTTGCAAGCCAGCTGGTGGCTCATGCTTGTAATCTTAGCTGCTTGGGAGACAAAGATCAGGTAGAACGAAGTTTGAGGCCAGCCTGGGCAACAATCTCGAAAAAACCCATCACAAAAACGGGCTGGTGGAGCGGTGCAAGGTGTAGACCCTGAGTTCACCCCAGTACTGCAAAAAAAAAAAAAAAAAAAAGGTTGCAGGTGCATTCTGCCCACTGGCGCCCCCTACCTCTCCACCCTTCCCTGCCTCCCTCTTAGAAGTAACAAATACTAGGAGGGGAAAGGACTAGAGAGTGGTAGAGGTACAAAGAGAGCCCTGGGGTGCAGCTGCCAGCTCTGAGCACCCAGATCAGCACAGCTGACTCCACGGTGACCTTTTCCCTACATTTAGCTATTTTTAGCTCTAATGCCACCATCTTCACGTGAGACCCTTTGCCCCACCACCACAACCAGGTTCCCAGACCTCTGAGCAACCTTCAGCTTGCTCGCAGGAACCCTGCTGGCCTCTCCGGATTTCCACCACATAGGGGAGGGGGTTCTGGTTTCCGCCCTGCATCTGTTTTCTCCATCCCAATTTGGGAGTAAGTGTCAGGTTCCCGGTGAGGGTGGGGCGGGGTGGCCAGGCCTGAAGGACGTGGGGACACGGGCCAGAGTGGCCAGCCCCATACTCTGACAGGAGCGAACTTGAGCTGTGAGTAGAGACCAGGGAAGGGCGACCCAGCCCACCCAAATTCCCCCACGGCGCCCCAGCCCACCGCAGAAGCCCAGGCGAGCTGGGGGCGCCTAACCCTGCCTCTGTCCAGGCCAGGGCCCCTCTCTCCTATCCCAAGGCTGCTCTTAGCTGTCCTTGAGGCTTTCCTGGAGCTTTGAAAGTTCCTGACCCCTTCCAATCCCTGCATCATTGTGGCTGGACCGGTCCGAACACCGCCGCGAGGGTTCTGTGGCGGTTGGCCAGGCGAGGAGGGCCGGACAGGGGCGCGCAGTGTTGGCGGGGGTCTGCCGCTAGGGGAACCGGGGGCGAGGGGGGGGGGGGAGGTCCGGGGCGGGGCCTCAGCGCCGGGAGTGGCCCTGGGTGGGGCTGGCCTGAGCGCGCCACGCACACTCCTGCCGCCGCTCCCAGGTGCCGACCAACCCCCAGGATGGCAGAAGCACACCAGGCTGTGGCCTTCCAGTTCACTGTGACCCCAGATGGGGTTGACTTCCGGCTCAGTCGGGAGGCCCTGAAACACATCTACCTGTCTGGGATCAACTCCTGGAAGAAACGCCTGATTCGCATCAAGGTGGGCACAGGTGGTCCTCAGGGCCTCTTTCTCCTAGCAGGTGCAAAGCAAAGGCTAAGTGTCAGCTGTTGCCCTATTGTCAGGGTCTCTTACCACTTTTGCCAGCAGTGCCGTGGGTACAGGCTTCAGTGGTGCAGAAATCTGAGGGGGGTGATTAAGGTGTACTGGGACACATAGGTGCTCCAGGTGTGAGCATATGGAAGGAGTAAGAAGACACAATCAGGCAGTTGAGGCAAAGACCCTTTCCCAGGACTTCACAGGTGTTTGATTACCTCATCTCCTGCCTGTTTCTGCCCCACAGAATGGCATCCTTAGGGGTGTGTACCCTGGCAGCCCCACCAGCTGGCTGATCGTTGTCATGGCAACAGTGGGTTCCTCCTACTGCAAAGTAGACATCTCCATGGGGCTAGTCTGCTGTATCCAGAGATGCCTCCCTGAAAGGTAAGAAGCCAGAAGGGCGCCATATCAGGAAGGAGAGCTAGACTAGCTCTCAAAGCCAGAGTTCCTGAATCGAACAGATACAGGATAACAGCCATTGATAGCCACAGGGCAGCCCTACCCCAAGGCCATCATGAGATCAGTCTGTCAGATTGTATTTGATGCACTCAGACCTGAGTGTGCCCAGAGAGGTTCTTGCACCTTTGTGTCTCCCCCAAGACAGTTCATAGTCATCAACTCAGAATTCTCCCAAAGTTGGCCTCAAGGGGACCCCCCTGCAGCCTTCCCTCCTTCTTTAATAGGTATGGCTCCTACCACACCCCACAAACTCGGACACTTCTCAGCATGGCCATCTTCTCCACGGGGGTCTGGCTGACAGGCATATTCTTATTCCGACAAACCCTGAAGCTGCTGCTTTCCTACCATGGATGGATGTTTGAGATGCACGGCAAGACCAGCCACACTACCAAGATCTGGGCTGTGAGCAGAAGCATTGGAGGGTGCAGGCATCTGGTTTGAGACCCTGAGACGCTCATTTAGAGTTCTAAGCAAGAGGGGAGAGGCAGACTGGGCATTGGTGCCATGTGTGCAAGGATTTGTCCTCAAGGGGCCAGGAAGAATAGTTCTGAGGGTCTCAAGTCATTTGCTTGTTTGTGTCCATTCTTCCCGTTACCACCCTGACCCTGCTCTGTGCCTATAGATCTGTGTCCGCCTTCTGTCCAGCCGGCGACCCATGCTCTACAGCTTCCAGACATCTCTGCCCAAGCTTCCTGTACCCAGTGTGCCAGCCACAGTTCAACGGGTGAGGGCCTGGATATCAGTGGGCATGGGAGCCTGGATTCAGAGGACTAATTCAAACATAAAGGATTGTTTTCTATAGATAGTTACCTTAAAGAATAATGAGGTCCGAGGAGAGAGATTTGGGAAGAGGGTTAAGACAGAGGCAGTCATTGGTGCCTGATCCCATGGTAATGATAACTTGACTGGACAGTACCTGGAATCTGTGCAGCCCTTGTTGGATGATGAGGAATATTACCGCATGGAGATACTGGCCAAAGAATTCCAGGACAAGACTGCCCCCAGACTGCAGAAATACCTGGTACTGAAGTCTTGGTGGGCAACTAACTATGTAAGTTTGCTCTCCTGGGCTTGTCCTCACCCGTGTGTACTGGCTGTCCTATTCCCTCCCTAGCTCTAACTTTCCACCCACCCACAGGTGAGTGACTGGTGGGAAGAGTACATCTACCTCCGTGGCAGGAGCTCCCTCATGGTGAATAGCAACTATTATGTCATGGTAAGAACCAGAACTTCCCAAGGTTTGTTGTGCTCTGGGGCAAGGACAGCCCAGAGGCCTTGTGGCAGTTAGTGAGGGTCATGGAGTGAGGACTGAGGGAAAGGGAAGAGGGAGGGGAGATCCTAAAAGTACAGTCCAGAAGCAGCTTAGGGGCAGTGGGGCTCTTGAGGACAAGGAGAATTCTGAGAACCCAATCTGTCATTGCTTGAGTCTCTCAGGCTTACTATGTCAGACTCCCTCACTGTCTGCATCCATTCCTTCACTGGTTTCCCAGCCACACACAGGTTACCAGCTGTCCCAACACCATTTGTAGGGACCTTCCTAAAACATACCTTGTTTTTTTATCCCTCTGTGGAACCATACCACGTGATGAACACCTAGCTGCTACTCTTAGCATTCAGGAAGTCACTGTCTATCATACCTCATGTGACTAAGCCCTTCTCCTGACTGCCCTCAGCATGTACCTGTGCACAGTCAGCAGGTCTCCCTGCTACCTAGCACCCAAACTTTCCTCTCCCACTATCCATGTCACAGTATCCCAGCCTGCTGGAGTTCCCCTCCTCCACAAACTTTTAGAAACTTATACACAATGTTTCAAACCAAAGGTTTTAAGCTGTTTTTTAGTGATGGAACCCTTTCCTTGAAATAAAATAAGCAAAACATAAACAAATAAAATAGGCATAAAAAAGGCAGCTCTAGGGTTGGGGGTTTAGCTCAGTGGAAGAGCGCTTGCCTGGCAAGTGCAAGGCCCTGACTTCCATCCCCAGCACCAAAAAAAAAAAAAGGCAGCTCTAGTAGAAGCTGTAGTAGAGGAGTAAAATGTCAGTCACACATTTCTGGAAGTTCACCTTGACAGCATGCAGGATGGGCTGGACAGAAGAGGTGCAACACCTCGGGCCTCTGAATAAGTTGGTCCTTGAGCCCCTGATGCTCAGGTGACACCCAGACAGAGGTGTCCATCCTGCAGCCTCTGCTTTGTCTGTAGGACCTTGTGCTTATCAAGAACACAAATGTGCAAGCAGCACGCCTAGGAAATGCCATACATGCCATGATCATGTATCGCCGCAAACTGGACCGTGAAGAGATCAAGCCTGTGAGTTGCATCGAGGTTGAAGGTGGGATGGGAGGGGAACGCTGAGTCTGAGTCATGCTGGGCCTTTCTACCAGGTGATGGCGTTGGGCATTGTGCCCATGTGCTCCTATCAGATGGAGAGGATGTTCAACACCACTCGCATCCCGGGAAAGGAGACAGGTACCAGGTCACAGCCAGGCACCTGTTGGGAGCAAGCCCACCCTCCCAGCTGTGGACCCACCATAACCAGGTGTCCAAATAATGTTTGTCACTAAGCATCCTTGTGTCTCAGGACCATGAATCTGTGAAAAATTGTCACTTTGTCACAGATACTAGACATCTGTATTTACAGGCATTGTGCTGGACCCCAAGGGGCCCAGAACAAGACTCCTCCAAGGCTTCTCTGTGCATGAGAAGATAGTAAAGAGAAACAAGAGAAGTACTGCTAGGTTAGTGGAGCTCAGAGGAAGTGCTGCTACCCCTCTTGGAACCTGCAAAGAAGGAGGGAGGGGCTTGCCTGAGGTTTGGTGGAGGAGGCAGCCTTTCCTGTTTCTGACACTGCCACCTCAGGCAGTTTGCAGTATTTAACACTTTGGTGTTCTTCTCTATGGAATACCTCCTAGCCATTGTTGTGAGAGGTGACAGAAGGACACAGCACAGGACCTGCCTAGCACACAGGGATCTGCCCCTGGGGGACAAAAGGCCTAGAACAGAGGCTGGACAAAGCAGGGGTCACATGGGCCACCTGTTGCATAGGAGGTGGGCCCTGTCCAGTGCTCTTGTGGGAAGGGAAGTGCTCCCCAAGCCTGTCTCTCAGCCTGCCCACTGGCCTCTGTCACAGATGTGCTGCAGCACCTCTCCGAGAGCAGGCACGTGGCTGTGTATCACAAGGGCCGCTTCTTCAAAGTCTGGCTGTATGAGGGATCCCGCCTGCTCAAGCCTCAGGACCTGGAGATGCAGTTCCAAAGGATCCTGGATGACCCCTCCCCACCTCAGCCTGGAGAGGAAAGGCTGGCAGCCCTCACTGCAGGGGGAAGGTACCTGGACCTGTGGAGAGGGCTTGTCCTTACCTAGGTTCAAGGGCCCATGAGGAGAAAGAGGAGCTTGGCTCTGCCTGTCATCCTAGGACTAGAGGTCAGAGGTGCAACCAAGGAGTGGGGCACATGGGACCTGCATAGTGAAGAGCAGTGGAAATCTGGCATATCCACCCTTAACAGTTAGTACATGGAGGGTGGGACATTTAGGATTCCAGGCACCCCCACCTCACCCCATCTCCAGGACAAATTAGGTCCTGGGAGGTGCCCTGAACCAAAGTTCACATTTGCTCCACTACTCATCTGCCCTTGTGCTCTCAGGATGGAATGGGCACAGGCACGCCAGGCCTTCTTTAGCTCTGGCAGGAACAAGGCTGCTCTGGATACCATCGAGCGTGCTGCTTTCTTTGTGTCCCTGGATGAAGAGTCCCATTGCTACAATCCTGACGATGAAGCCAGCCTCAGCCTCTATGGCAAGGCCCTACTGCATGGCAACTGCTACAACAGGCACGTGCCCCCAGCCCCATGGGTTAGAGATTAGGGTTTAGGATTAGAGGTTAGGGTTAAGATTGGAGGCTAGGGTTAGGGATAGAGGTTACAGTTATGGTTAGAAGTTTAAGACAGAAGTTAGGATCATAGGTAGTATTATTGTTTAGGGGTTAGGGTTAATGGTTATAGTCAGAGTTAGAGTTGAAGGTTAGGAATAAAGGTTACAGTTAGGTTTTGAGTTAGAATGATGATTAGAATTGAAGAGTTAGTGTTATTCAATTCGGATTCGGGTTGTAGATTATGGGTCCTAAGATGTACATTCCAGCTCTGGGTTATCCATGCATCTACTCCTTCTGCAGATGGTTCGACAAGTCTTTCACTCTTATTTCCTTCAAGAATGGCCTATTGGGTCTCAACACAGAACACGCATGGGCAGACGCCCCCATCATTGGGCACCTCTGGGAGGTAACAGGACTGAAGAGGGGACCTGTAGGGCAGGCATTGACAATGAGGCTTGTTTCTCAGCTTGACTTTCTCCCTTCAGTTTGTCCTGGGCACTGACACCTTTCACCTGGGCTACACAGAGACTGGGCACTGCCTGGGCAAGCCAAACCCTATGCTGGCGCCTCCTCAGCGGCTGCAATGGAACATTCCTGAGCAGGTGTGCAGGCCAGGAAGGGGCAGGGCAGGTGTGAGAGTGATGAGCCTCTGAGTTGCTCTTCCTCCCCTCCCTTCCTACTCCTATCACTTATACCTGCCCTCAAGGGGAGCAGACAGGAACTTCTCAGGGCACCATGTGGGTTTCAGACTGGCCACAGGGAAAGCAGACTCCAGAGCTATCTGGTTAGAGAAAGACTGAGATGTGTGACTCATGTCTATGGCCTGCATCCATGAAGCTCCTGGTAGTGCCTCCTCCCTCCCACCACCCAGGCTCATTCTGTCCTTGTGCTGAGACCCCTCCCTCATGTTGTCCCTTATGTCCCCTCCTCCTGAAAACATTGGGCTTGTTCTGCCTTTCATCACTTGAACTTCATACCTCCTTGCTGTGTCCTAGAGAACTGCTTAGAGGGCTATGCCCCCAGCTGACCTTTTCCATGTCTTGGCAGTGCCAGGCCATCATCGAGAGTTCCTACCAGGTGGCCAAAGCATTGGCAGATGATGTAGAGTTGTACTGCTTCCAGTTCTTGCCCTTTGGCAAAGGCCTCATCAAAAAGTGTCGGACCAGCCCTGATGCCTTTGTGCAGATTGCCTTACAGCTGGCTCACTTCCGGGTAGGAACCCCCATGGGCTGCTGAGTAGGCAGGGCAGCCCCACGGTCCACCTGGCTCACTTCCAGATAGGAGCCCCCAAGGGCTGCTGAAGCCCCACGATCTGACAGATTCACCCCCGTGTATCCCAGGACAAGGGCAAGTTCTGCCTGACCTATGAGGCCTCAATGACGAGAATGTTCCGAGAAGGACGGACTGAGACTGTGCGTTCCTGTACCAGTGAGTCCACAGCCTTTGTGCAGGCCATGGTGAAAGGGTCCCATATGGTGAGCACCCTGCCTCTTGTTCCTCACCCTCCTCCACTTCAAGGGGCAGGACCACTCTTTACCCTACTGCTTCTGCCCACCAGAAGGAAGACCTCCGAGATCTCTTCCGGAAAGCTTCTGAGAAGCATCAGAACATGTACCGTCTGGCAATGACTGGGGCTGGTATTGACAGGCACCTCTTCTGCCTTTATGTGGTCTCCAAGTACTTGGGAGTCAGCTCCCCTTTCCTGGATAAGGTCAGTGTTGTTGCTGGATGTGTCCTCATCCTCCTGCCTCCCAGCCCAAGGGCTCTAACCTTCTCGAGATGGGGCTCTGTGTATGGCCAACTCCCCTGAAGTTGCCCTGGAGGGCAGGGTCAGCTTTGCCACATCACACCACACCACACCATACCAGGCCTGCAGTCCTGGAACTGAGGACTGTTCCTACAGGGCCTTTACATGGAATCACTCTTCTCATGATGGGAGACAGACAAATGTATAGTCTGTCAGGTGGTGATGGTACTGGTGAGAAGAGTAAAAGGGGCAGGGCAGAGGGAGGGAGGGGCAGGTCAGATAGACCTCAAGAACCCAGGGGAGGGTTTTGTGCAGATGCTGAGGTAAGGCAAACAGGCTGTGGGGGGAAAGGGGAACCACGGAACTGTACCCCAGGGAGATCCTGCATGCATGTCCACTCCTGAGTCTTCAGCAGATAGTGCCTGTCTCAGAGCAGGTCTCTAGCACCAAAGGTCAGACAGGTGCACACTGAGTGCCTAGTGTCTGACAGGCTTTGACCTCCGTTACAGGTGCTCTCAGAACCCTGGCGCCTCTCCACCAGCCAGATCCCTCAATCCCAGATCCGCATGTTTGATCCAGACCAGTACCCTAATCACCTGGGTGCTGGAGGTGGCTTTGGCCCTGTGAGTGCCCTTGAAAGGTGGTAGTGGGCAACACTAGGACCCTGGGGTTTCAGGGAGAGCAGGGGAGGATTAAGGGTCTTGACCAGATCAGATAGAGCGCCTCTTTTACAGGGGCATGTGTGAAAACAGAATGATATCTGTCAGCCCAGCAGAAAGGTACTAGGATACACTCATCCTACACATCTCCATACTGGAGTATGACCATGCCCAGGGCCAGTCTACAGGAGACAGGACAATACATTGGGCCCTTCAGAAGTGTATTCACCAAGGAGTCCAGTATCATCCCACTGAAACACTGGGCTAGTTTCTCAGAAGAACAGACTCCACTAAAGATAGAGGTAGTCTAGAGTATGAGGGAAACAGGAGTCGTAGATCCCAGAACCACAGGAGGGCAGCATTCTTTGGTCTTCACACTGTTTCCTGGAGTGGGAGGTAGGGGTTCTGACTCAAGAATACAGTGTTCAGGGGCTGGGCCTCCTCCTGTGAATCTTGTGGGAAGGACAAATACAACATCAGCTTAGGTTTCATGTCTTCTCCTTCACCTCTTGTCAGGTGGCAGATGACGGCTATGGGGTTTCGTACATGATTGCAGGTGAAAACACAATCTTCTTCCACGTTTCCAGCAAGTTCTCAAGTTCAGAGACAGTGAGTCTTCCTACCCCCACTTGGATGGCCTGAGGAGGGGGTGCCACCTGGGACAGCCCAGGATCACACTGTGTCTGTAGCTGGGGAAGAGAGTCCTGTTTATAGGGACAGGGGTGGCAACTGGCCTGAAGGTGTGTCTGAGCTCTCGATTCCCACAGAATGCCCAGCGCTTTGGGAACCACATCCGCCAAGCCCTGCTGGATATCGCTGATCTTTTCCAAGTTCCCAAGACTGACAGCTGAGAGCTAAAGAAATGCCAGCTGCCCTTGTGTCCCCACATTGTGGAGGAAGGGGCCTGTGGCCAGCATGCAGGCATAAGGGGTAGCCATGCATGGATGCCCAGCTCTGAGGACAGCTCAGTCAGCAGGCACTCCCCAGAAAGATGCTGCTCCCTTAGGGCCTAGATGGACGTGGGGTTGTAGCAGGTAGGGAATTTTGATTTTTTTTCCTTGCTAGATACTAATAAAAATAAGACTGTGTAATTCTCTCTCAGCCCTTAGGTGCCTGTATTTTGTTTGGGAACTAGAAGGCCCTCTCCTTGTCCCAACTCAAGCCAGAAAGAGTTGGGGCTAGGTGTCTATTCATGAGGAACTTGTGACATGCCTTGAAATGTGTGTCTTTGCTGAGTGATGCAGGTTCTGAGTTTCCTGCTCAAACCCTCATGTGTCCTTGGAATAAATTCTTACTTAGAGAATCTTTACCTGTTCGATGGGGCTATTTCTGTTTGTCTGCCATAGATTTTGATCTACCTGGCTCTTCCATGACTAGGTGCCCTCTGCACCCCTCTGGGTTGGAGCACATCCCTACCGAGGTCCTTGGCATCCTCCCAGGCCCAAGGTCAGGAGGCCAGGAGATTATGTCTTTGAAGGCACACAGGATAGTCTGGAACAACATGCTTCTTCACTTAAATAGGCTTTTCTGTTAAAAGAACATTTAAGAGTAAACCAAAAATAATTTTTTATGAAAAGTGTGAGTAGGTACTCAAATTACTGCTACTTGAGTGAATCTAGATTTCATTGCTCTCTAGGTGCTAAGAACCTAGAAGTGAATCAGATTCAGTTCTGGGCCTTCATTTAGAGACCATGTTTGTTGAACCCAGACATGTCCCTGTGCTGGATATTTAGCAACATGGAATTCACTACTAGGTGAAGCAGGCATGAGCAGGGAACACAGCAGCTGGTAGAAACCAGGAAGCTTTTGGAATGACCCATTTAGCAAGTGCTTACTGCGTGCCTTCAGTGTGCAAGGCCCTGTGATGTAGCAATGAACAAAACTGGCAAACAATCCCTTCAGGGCTTAGAGTCTGTGCTCAACAAACATGGTGCAAGGGAAGGGACACAGACAACAGCTAAGAAGAATGTGTATATTATATAGTAAGTCAGATGGAAGCAAGCACTCAGAAGAAAGTGAGGGAAGGGACAAATGGAGGGGTAGTGGCCAAGGCAAGCCTTTCTGCATGTGACTGTTGACTACAGACTTGGAAAAGAGGGAGCAAGCTATGTCTCTCATGTCCCATACCTGAAGGCAGACATTCCTGGCTTGAGGGACATCGAGAGCCAAATCTGTGTGGAAGGAAGCACCTGCTGTGGTGGAGGATCAACACAGGAAGGCCAGTGTCATTGTGCAAAGTAAGGGAGAAGACTAGGAAGGGCAGGTGGAATGGATTTGAAGACCAGACTCTGACATCTTCAAATGGGTGAAACCACTGGGTTTTGAGCAGAGGGGAATATAATCTCTCCTAATTTTAAAGGGATTGCCCTGGCCAACAGGTGACAGAACAAAGTGAGGTGCAGTCAGGGAAGAATCAGGAGGCCAGTTGGAAGGTGGTGCTTATGGTGGTAGTGGAGATGGGAGAAATGGCAGTGCTTAAACTAAGCCAGCCCATGCATAGGATTTGAGAATTAGGGAGCTGAGAATGTAAAAGATAGGACTGATAAGCCTGATAAGGAGATCTCAAAGAAAACTCACATTTTTTTAAATTTTGGGTGATTGAATGACTAGCTGTTAAATTTAACTAGCCTATAAGAAATATCTGAAGCTGCTAGAGTGGCTCAAGTGGTGGAGCACCTGTGAAGCAAGCATGAGGCCCTGAGTTCAAACCCTAGTACCACCAAAAAAAAAAATGAAAAGAAATATCTGTGATGTGCTGGAGGCATGGCTAAAGCAGTAGAGCACCTGCCTAGCAAGCACTGAAGCCCTGAGTTTAACCCCAGTACTACAAAAAAAAAAAAAAAAAGATTAAAAAAATCCATGAAAATGTCTCATAGATTCTTGAGAATATAAATTAAAAACTAAGAAGAAGCTGGGCACTGATGGCTCCTACCTGTAATCCTAGCTATTAAGGAGGCAGAGATCAGGAGGATTGCAGTTCAAAGTCAGTCCAAGAAATAGTTCCTGAGACCCTATCTTGAAAAAAACCAGTCATAAAAAAAGGGGCTGGCAGAGTGGTTGACATGGTAGAACACCTACCTGGCAAATGTGAGGCCCTGAGTCCAAGCCCCAGTACTGCCAAAAAAAAAAAAAAAAGCTAAGAAGAAATCTGGGCTCCTGACAACAGTTTTGAAATTTTGAAAGTTATTAAGACCTTGAGAGCACATGAGCATCTCCATGATTTTTTTTTTAGTATGGGGGATTAAACCCAGGGCCTCATTAGGCAAGCACTCTAACCATTTTGAGCTATACCCCCAGCCCAGCCCTTTTGTTTTTACTTTATTTTTGAGATAGGGTCTTACTAACTTTGCCTGTGCTGGCCTTGAACTTGCAATCCTCCTGCCTCCACCTCCCAAATAGCAAGGATTACACACCTGGCCTGTATGAGCTTATAAAAGTATAACTATTTGCTGAAGATGTAATTTAGTGGTAGAGCACTTGCCTAACATGTGCAAGGACCTGGGTTCAATCTCCAGCACTCCAAAAAAAAAAAGCATAACTATGCTGCTCATACACTGCTGCATTCCAGTGTTGTGGAATCCAAAATATTTCCACAGGCTTCTGCCTCTCATGGGGTCAGTGGAACCTCTCCTGTGAAAGTGTCTGGAATTCAGTAGGTTTGGGGGGACACCAGCTCACCCAATCCCAGGAGAACAGTTAACAGAGTTTCCAAAAAGCTGGCTTTTGATTAATGTCAAATTAATGTTATCAGGTTTGTTCTTAGTTGAAATAAGTGAGAATAGAAACTATAGCTACACAAGAGTATAAATCATACACTGGTGACCATCCGTCTGACCCAAATAAGCTCCTTTATGTCATGTGTGTTTGAAAATCTGCATTAGTTAAGACTAGAAGCCTGAATCTTAAAGTCTCAATGGTTTAACCCAATAAAATAGAAGTTTAATTCTTGCTCAGATCAAATTCAATTAGCTGAAGGGGCTCTGCTCCATACCATTATTTGAGGACCTAGGTTGACAGAATCCTGCCTTCAGAATCAACATCAAACAAGTACACAGGAGGAGAGAGAGGGCCACCTGTACAAAGCTCACTATTTACGTCCTACTAGCCAGAACTCATATTCCAAGACAATCTAAGAAGTAAGTCTAGCTGTATGCCCAAGATACATTTGGGAACATCTGATGACAGTCAGCTGGTCTCAGATACACAAGAGCATGGCCACTACCAGACTGACATCTTCTGGGCTTCCTGAGAGTCCAAACTTTCATGGCTTTGCACAGTGTTGCAGACAGGACACCTAAATCTGCCAGGCAGAGTACTCGAGGCCACTCACATTCCATCGAAAATAATCGTCCATTTCCTCAAAGAAGACAGGCCTATCCAAACCCTTGTCTTTGCCTTCAGTGGTCATTCTTCCTGGAATCTTAGTCCCTTTCTCAGTCAGGAGAATTCTACTCTTTCCCAATGCTGACTTCATTACCCATTGGAGTTAATCCTGATCCGTGTTTTCCTGGGGTGTTGTAAAGAAATCAATACTGGGCTGTCTTAAGCATATGAAAGAATGATTTTAAGTGTGAAAAACAGCCCACAGGTTGGAAATGACAACCGTTAAACCAAGCTGTAAAGGGGCAGCTTAGGGAGGATGTGGCCCAGACAGCAGTCTCCTCCATAAACATGTGAACGCTCACTCTGTGCCCACAACTTCTGGCTCCATGCCAGCTGTTTTCCTCCTCTGCAACTGCTAAGGGTCAGAATCCCTGAGAGAAAACTCAGCAGGTCACAGGTATGCAATATTCTCAAACTGGCCTCTCACCCACTCTTCCCCATCTCTGCCTGTGCTATCGCCATCAGCCACTAACGGTTTTCTCCCTCACCTCCCACACTACTAAGCCTCGTCAAATCTGTCTTCTAAATGGCTTTGTCCTCCCTCTGTGACCGTGCCCCCACTTGTCCACATGTCCATCATTACTCACCCAAACAACAGCAACAGCCTACTCCATCTCCAGCCTGCCTCCAGGAGCCATTTCACTCCTCTGCTTACCCTGCTTCCAAGATGCTCACGGCCCCCGAATAGACTGGTCTTGAACTGGCCTGTCTATCCTCCTCCCCACCACGGCCTTCTGTGCTTGGCCAAGTGCTGGGCTGGTCTGTGGCCTGTGCTTGCTTGATCTGAGCACCTGCTGCGGGGGGACGAGGAGCGCCAGGCCGACCTGGGCGTCCTCCTCTGGAAGGCAGGTGCGACAATGTCGGCCACAGGCACAGCTGTGCACACTGGATATACTGAAGATTTAACCAAAGTTTACAAGCACCTTCTGAGCCAGGTACTGTCCTCAACACTAGCGACACTGTGGTGAGCCAGGCCCTGGGCTCATGGCTTTACAGACAGGTAGGAGAGGAATACACTGTCAGGCAGCGCACTGGGGGAGGCGGGTGCCTCTCATTTCGGTTTTATTCCCGCTCAACCTCAGACCCGCTTCAATCCAGGATATTGCCCATCACAGACCTCAAGTCCAGCTACCGGCCACGCCTGCCAATTCCCCGCCCCTTCCGCCCCGGAAGCCACCCAATGAAGGCGAGAAGCCAGTTCCAGGGGCGGGTCTAGCAGCGGAAAGGGGCAGGGCGTCGTTGCCAGGAACCGCCTCCTGCCTCGGGGGGGCCGCCGGGGCAGCCGAGCGGACCAGAGCGCGGGCCCAGCCCAAGGTGAGCGAGACCAGCGCGCCTGGGGGCACGGACCCTCCCAGCGCGCCCCGACCCACGGGCTCCACCTGCGGCGAAGTACCGGCGGCAAACCAGACCCTTCGTCCCGACTCCTCATCCCTTGCTCTGCCTCCGCATGCCTACCTACTCCACACCCCGGATCTGTCACCCTAGAGTCCTCACCTCAGTCTCCTCACCTCACACCCAGATCGCTCCCTTCAGACTCCCTACCTCACACCCCAGACCGCTCACCTCACACCCCAGACCCCTCACCTCACACTCCTCACCTCACACCCCAGACCCCTCACCTCACACCCCAGACCCCTCACCTCACACCCCAGACCCCTCACCTCACACCCCAGACCGCTCACCTCACACCCCAGACCCCTCACCTCACACCCCAGACCCCTCACCTCACACCCCAGACCCCTCACCTCACACCCCAGACCCCTCACCTCACACCCCAGACCGCTCACCTCACACCCCAGACCCCTCACCTCACACCCCAGACCCCTCACCTCACACCCAGACCCCTCACCTCACACCCCAGACCGCTCACCTCACACCCCAGACCCCTCACCTCACACCCCTCACCTCACACCCCAGACCCTCA